GATAGTAGAATGGCCTTTAGCCAAGGTTAACTGCGAAATAAGCAGGCTCCTGGGTCTGACGAATAAATAGTCACGGACCAGCAGCGACAGTGCAATCAGGGCGCGGAGGGCTGAGGTCTGGTCCACCGATTGCCTTACAAAATGCCGCAAGTCCCAATTACAGCACTGTGGCATTAGATAGGTTTGATTGCCACTGTTGCCTTGTGGTTAGGTTCTTAAACCAAAGTGCTAGAGGAGACAAGCTTGAACAAACAATCCGAACGGCTGTTGGGGACTCGCCTGTATTCCACATCCCCAAGAATCTCCTCATCCAATCCAATCGCGTAAAAACAACTTTATAAAGGGACTTATCTAATTTGTGTGAAAAAATGACGTATTTTGTGGAGGCCAAGTCCTGTGCGACACGCGTATACAGACGCCTACAATCCTGTCAGCCACTCACGCTAGATCCTACATCAGATAGCTGACTGGCTTGATTAATGGGCCGACGCCCTGGAGAGGGAGAGTGTCTGAATTCGACTCTGGGGACTGCGTCCGAATGACACTCGGGTCATATTCCTCACTGTAAAAAAGCTGGTGGGTTTGACTCCATCACGGTGCAGTAAAAGCCGTGGCTTGGAAAGCTGCCGATTAATGGAATAACTCAGTCCTCTCTGGACGCATAGTCAGGTTCCAAGGGGCTGCCCCTGAATGTCGCCTCTGTGGCCCTACCACTCAGTGGAGACCCTAGGAGCTCTATTTTCTGGTTTGCGTGAAACCACGATTCATCGAGCGCGGACTGGGCATGACGTGTGGTGCGCATGAACGTGCTGTTTAGTGATGTCAGCCCCGCGCTCGATCCCGCTTCCGGTCCACTTCATCGTCTTTACAGCGGGCTCAGGCGGAAGGATAAAGGAGTTGGGCAGACGCAACGCAAATCTACTATCACTATGAATTAATTCGCGCGTAAGTCTTCATTCCTGAACCAACCCTGCTGTGGGGTACACGATGGGCATCGTCGATAACGATCGTCGAACCGACATGTTAATAAATCTGCCGGGTTACCGTAAGGCAGGATTCCCACATCAGGTTCGATACGTCAGTAGCAAGATAGATGAGGTCTAGCCGTCTTGTTGAAATTCGTTCCTCTTATAAGTCAAATATGGATCGCAGTCTTAGACCAGAACGACTTTATATCGATCCAAAGTCTTCACAAACACTCAAACAATGGAACTACCGGTGTCGTACATTTGGAGGTTCTATGTTCATAAATGTCCGGTGCAGAAAAGAGTATTTAGACTAAGTATGTGTCGCCGTCGGTCTGACAAGGCATCAGTATGTACTTCAGTTAAATGTTAGCTGTTGTATGACTATGTAACTTCTACACTAAATCAAAAACTAAAAACATGCTCGCCATCCTTCAGCTACATACAGAAAAGTGGACAATCCCTCGATCAGTTCACAGGAAAGGTGGGTTATTTAAAGACCGTGAAAGCTATGAGCTGTCACGGCAACATAAAATCATTTTGATATCAGCAATGACGCATTTGTGAGCAGTCAGAAGTGGCAGTCACCATTGGAGCAGAGGACGTTCGATACTTTAGATGTCGAAATTGCTAACCCACAGAATCAGAAAGGTCTATTTGTAGCGTTCATCTCGAGTAGTCTATTCCCAAATGGGCGATAGCATTCTACTATCGAGAAAGAAGCGTAGGCGGTAGTAAATCGGAAACATGTTTTCCTCCTCATTCATTCCAGAAACATGGTGTATCCGCGTCTGGTTGTCTATATTTACGTAACTCAATAAGAGGAGACGGGAAAAAA